GCATATTTAATAGAGAAGAATATATTGCCCTTGCGCAGAAGCTAAAATATCGATTAGCCCTAAAATGAAAGGCATTTAAGTAAGTTTTGAAAGAATTCATAACAGGAGATTTGGTGGTGGTGGGGGGGGGAGTTCTCCCCTCACGCCCCTACACACTTTTCTCCTCTTCAAAAATAATGAATTCTAAGTGCTTAAAAATATAAGATCGAAAAGTATAATAGGAAGGGGATTATTTCCTTTCCTTTATTTTCAAACTGATTTGAAGTTGAGGGAGAAAATAAAAAATGCCTATGTATGAAGATTATTTTTTAACCTTTCTAAAAAAATAAAAAATTTAATGAAAAATTTGTACAAAGCACGGGGGAAAAAAATGACATTCCCAAAATTGCTTTTGATCTAATGATCGGATATTCACGTATCAGGACTTAGTTGTTCAAGGGCCTTTGCCTAAAATTAATTAGTGCAGACGATATTTTAAGGTACAAAATCAAACACAAAAGCATACTTTCTCTGGATGTTTTTCTTTTCCCTTTATTTTGTTTGATTTTTTTCTTTCTTTCTTTTTTCTTGATGGATTTTGATTTAATGATTTAAAAAAAAAAAAGAAAAAAGAAGTGGTCAAAAGTTTGAGTCCTGTAAATTTTACTTCTATGCATTTCACTATGAAGGAACTAATCCGGTGATAAAATGTGATTATCCGAAGACCAGTTTAATCCACGAAATACGTAGTTTTAAATAACAAAATTCAAAGTTCTTGAAAAAATAAAATACAGCTTCATTAAGGTACTGAAATGAGCTATAAGTGGAATTAACATGAAGGAGTTCAAATATTCGACTGCTCTCCTAACCTAACTAGTGTGACCATATTATCCAGATTGTGACTATACTCCATATTAGGGCTGGGATAGCCCGGTTGGTAGGGCGTTGGACTCGTGTTCGTGAGAACGGGTGTTCGAATCCAGACGGTCGAAGAATCCCAGTGTATTAAACGGTGACTGTTGCACGCTAAATCTGCTGGGGTCACAAAGTCCTGTAAGTTCCCATCACAAATCAATACCTCTGGGGGTACTGATCCAGAAATTCACTTGTCTTCTTGATTGAGCTCTAAATTACAAACCTGTGGAGCTGGACATTGATAGTCGCAAACTCAAGTTTGGGTCGGCTGTTGAACGACGGTTATGAAATAAAATATCACAGAATATATAACCCATATTGAGCGGCTGGTCGATACGAATTCTGCACCGGACTCGCTCCGACCACAGTGCTGACGTTAAACATCCTCAGTGGTAGGCGGATCATGGGTTCTGTAGCCGTCAGGTTAACATCGGGTTTTCCTCTCCATGTAATGCAAATGCTGGTTAGTTCCATTATAAAGTCCCCCACAAAGGCAAACTTCTTCCGATATTTGGATTCAGGAGTTTTGGATTGGATGCAAAATTACTAGGCTACGGAGTTGATGATTAGTAGTCGTAAACTCAAAAAATTGGATCGGCTGTTCAACGATGATTATAAAATATGCCCCGTATTTCCTGAATCCATTTTCGTCGTCGAGAAAGAAAAAAAGCAGAATATGTTCATTTAGAGTAAGTACGTTTTTGTGCCAAATTTTGTAACTTCGGCGGATCAAATTAATTAGCATGTTTAAGTTTAGGTTCTTGAACCTTATTTCTTTTTTCCGCGCACTTTACACTTCAAAGAATATTTTTTAAGATATAAATAACTCCCATTATCTTTTAAACTTATTGTTACGTTAGCAATATACTATACTTTAACAGTTTGTAACCATTTTTGTAAATTTCAGGATTCTGCTATTATTTTAACGATAAATCTCTCAAGTTCCAAAACCTTGCGCATTTTTTGAAAACTTTGAAAGCTAACCTCCTAAAATTTGTGAACTTTGCTGCAAAAATATTCAAATTTAGAATGTTTAAAAAAGTTATTATTTAAAAAAAAATAGATTAAAAGATTAAAAAATTTTAATGCAAGAACGAAATTATAAAATAGTTTTATTATGTATTTCGAGCGTGCAGCGAATATAAAAGACCGCTAAGAAAGATTAATGTGCTAAAAAAGGGTCTGAAAATTTTCTTTGGTCAAATTTGTTCTCCCCCCCCCCGTTTTTTGACAATACTCCTCTTTTAACATTTCCCACTAAGGAAAAATTTATTGTCGAAGGTGTAAAATGAATTTTGATTTGCACAGACAATCGCTTGGTGCATTAACTACAAACAAAACTATAAATTTTACTTAACTGTGATAAAAACTTATAACAATTAAACGAGAATATTAAAGAGGAAAAAAATTAATCACTCTCTAATAAATAATTGATTAATAATTTAAAAATTAAACTCACCAAATATTACAGAATTTTAAAAATAATTTTCACAATTAAAAAGGTAGAATAAATTGAAAAGTTAAAGTGTAGCAATTTTTAGATCATTAATAATTTTTTAAAACTTTGACTTGGTTTAGTGTATACACCCATTGAAAATTGAATCCATTAATAATGAAATTTTATTTCATGCAATGCAGTATTTCTGTTATAATTAACTAAAATTATATCATAAAATTAAAAGATATAAAACTATATTATTAAATTATAATAATTATTTTCCATTTTCGTACTTGACTTGTGCTTTAATCACGCTGTTTCTCGCTTTAGTCAACATAGCACCCTATCCCTTTAGATAACCAAAATTAGATAGATAAATTTAGTATTTATAAGCATTTGAAAAGGAATTAGGTTTCAAATTCACCTGCAACGCAATTTTTTAAGGAAACTTCAATTCAACTTCTNGGGGTGTTCTCTTGTGAGTAATCAATATTTTAAGGAGTTTGTTCCTGATTAATTTACCTTTATAACAGACCCAGTTTTTAAATTTTTTTTTTTTTAGGAGTGTAAGATATTATTAGAACATACAAGGCCCAAATTATTTTTATCTACTCATAAATATTTTCATTTATATATTCTTACATGCACATAAAATTAAATTATTTTTCCTTGTTGCAATTTTATTTAAATTTTTCTATTCATTGAAAAAAATTGACCAAATTAAATTTTTTTACCAAGTTATTGCATATGCGATGTTTTTTACGTCGATTATTTTAAACATGAACATCTACTATTCTACTTAAACTAAAAACTTTACTTAAAAACATAAAGACTATCAAATTTAAAGAAATATATTTCAAAATACTAATAAATAAATAAATATAATGAATCAATACAGCAATAAAGCATTTATATTTATAATTTCAGAATTATTGTTATTTCAGCTCAAAATTGATGTTAGGTAATGCTGTAAATCACAATTAAATATTTACACCACACCAAAATAATACAAGTTGAAATTCAAAATCATTAAGTTGTTACGAAACATTTCAACAGCGAAAAACTTATAAAACTTCATAATTTAAAATGCTTGGTTCAAAGTTCATATGATAATTAAAAAACGTAACATCTTTTTAAATTCCCAGAAAAAAATCATCATTAACTTATGAATTTTAAGAAAAATATAAGATTTTGTCTTTTTTAATAAACAAAAAAGGTCTAAAATTCAAAACATCAAACAGTAAAAAAAAATTATGTTAACAAAATACTTAATTAGGAACAACAAAAATTTTAAATAATTAAGCCACAGTAGGAAACAGCAGACATTTTTAAAACTATATTTTGATTAAAAAAAATCTTACAATAAATACAATTCAATGCTTTGTCAAATAATTTTAATAAATTTTGTATTAGAGGTTCTATAAAAATAAATAAAAATGAACTTTATAAACTTAATGAGATAAAAATAAGCAATAAAAATAATACAAGAACTTTATAATTAAGTTTATATTTATTAGTCTTTTACATGTTTCTGAAAAAATAAGCTTTAACAAAGACAAAATTATATTTCCTTATCGAGTAGTTTTTATTAACAACAGCTTCATGAAACACACATCTTACAATTCATTACGAAAATTAAACTTTATTAAAATGTCAAAATTATTTTCATTACTTTTTATCAATAAGTTCATAAATGTATTATTTTTCTCTATATTTACTTACCAATGCAAAGTTTATTAGGTTTTTCTTTCTGGAAAAAATTTCCATGATTTTATCCCTATGTTTAAAAATTTCCACAATTTTCTATTAAGACTACATTTTTTAAATTTTTATACTAATTCATATTCAATAATTTTTTTTTTCTTGAATAAGAAAATATAGTACACATTTTTTAAAAAAAAAAGTTCTTAAGCATGAATCATTTTGTTTTCAAAAGTTTAATTTTCTAAGAGTTTTGTGAAGAGATCATTTCAGAAAACAAATCCCAATTAAAAACTATTTGTCTTTATTGAAGCTTGAATTTTCCGATATATGTAAGAAACTAGTAATTTAATTAAGATATTTCTAAATATTCTATAAAATAATTTAAACAGCAATTAATATGACTGGTTTATTTGTTATTCTTCATATTTTTGTTCTTTTACTATTCTCTCAAAAGAAAATAATAAAACTGATTAGATTGAGTAGGATTTTTTGAAAGAAAAAAAAAAGAAGAATTTTACGAAATGAATATTAAACTATTGCATAAATATCTATTTCCTTAAAATGTAATAAAGCTTTTACGATAGCTTTTTAAAACTGGAAGCAAATTTTGCATATTAATCAATTTTATGCAATATTAGATAACTTTCTAAAAAACAACAACTTATAATTAGGATAGTACATCCATTAAAAACAAGAAAAATTTCATTTATTCTAGGACTTATAAATCTTTAGTTTTTTGAACTCTTTAACAAATTAATTAGGCAAAAATCGATAGCATAAAATCCTTTGTTTGTTATCCTCACCTAAAAAGAAAAGTCATTTTAAATATATTAAAAAATTTATTAAAGAAAAATGCTTCGTGCATCTTACATAGCGTCTGCTAAATAAAATAATGCATAAAAATTATTATTCTAATTTTTACATAGCATTAGGAAAAACAAATAAAAATAATAAGTTTTTTTACCTAGATTGACCATGATTGCTTTTATATTCCAAAATTTTCTTTCTCTCCCAGCCTTCAGAAGTTTTAACCCAGGCTTCCCCAGGCGATCGCCAATCCTTTCCGAGGAAAGGCATAGGTATTTCAAAATTATTCTATTAAATGCGATCTGTTTCAAAAATTTAAAACACTACGCAGATTGTTTTCAAATAGACGACTTCAAACGCTTTTATGATCCAGTTGTTGATGTTCTGTTGTTGACGAAAATGACGTCACAAAACATATGTGTGGTGATCCAGTTGTTTAACAACATTGAGCGCATGCTGCTGTCTGACGTCAAAACGATTATGATAAATTCGATGAATACGATTATGATTCATCGATGTTTTTTACGGAATTTTTAAAAATTTTCAAATTATTAATATTTGTTAAATAAGAGTTGTTTTTGTTCATTTAAAACAACGATAGACATCTCAATAAATTAAGTTTTGATTCTTTTCTTTGAGAAATCAGGGAAAATGTTCCTATCCTATTTTAACTGCCAGAAGAATCTGGCAATTCTCAATTAATACCAGATTTATTTGTTTTGTTTTGGAACATTTTTAATACCTTTAGAAATTAACATGCTTGCTGTAAAATATGTATCTAAGGATTTAAGAGGATTATCTTCTCTTATACATTTCAGCAGAAATGTTAATTTTCGTTCAAGAAATCCTCCCGACCCTCATTTCGATCGCAAGCGAATGATCGAAGTTTGCAAACCTATAGTGCTCCCTGATCGTACTCCTGATAATGAAACTTGTTCTAAACTTAAGCTTGTAGAAAAAGAAGTACCTCATCCATATGAAGTAATTTTATCGTCCGAGTTGAAGAAATACTGGGAAACTTCTCGAATGATTTTGTTTTATCATTTACCTCCATTATCAAATCGTACACAAAGAGGAGTACGAAACACATTTTTCAAACAAGTTCAGTTTCATGCGTACAGTGCAAACGTTATGAAACTCGCAATTTCGGAAACTCCATTCAAATCTGCTCTTCATTTGTATGAATCAAACACAGCTGTTGTTTTTTCCGAAACTTTAGCAATTAGTAAATTATTGAAAATAAATCGTAAGATTCAGCAACAAGGGGTTGCATTTCTAGGAGGCATAATAGATAATGTATTTTACAGTAAAAATCAAGTACAGGAAATTGGTGATTTGTTTAAAAAGGACTGTCATTCAGAATTGGCGCAACTCTTGGATTATGTGCCATCAAAAATCAAAAGCACTTTGAATTATCAAACACAGACACTCTCACATTATTTGTCACAAATTTCAAATGAAAAATAGTTTTTGTTGAGAAATAAATTTTTATTAAGCATTAAGTAAAATCATTATGTGCGTTCAGGGGATATTTCCGTATCTTGATCTGTCACGCCAACAATTGCAAAGGTGTCAGATTTCAAACTTGCAAATTTTAAAAAAAAGAACTGCATGTAGATGTTTGCCTGGGGGTGGCTGCGAGTTATACCCTTCTAGTTTGTTTGTTTCTTTTTTTAGTTTCTTGCGGGCTGCGGCCTAGAAGTTGCCAAGACTTGGCGATTATTCTGCCACAGATCACGATACAGAAATCTTCTTGTGCTCTTTATTTATTTTAGCTATGAAAATTCCAAATGTTATGAGCTTGTGGATCATTAGTTCAGTTTTGAACAACATAAAACCTTCTAATGCACTGCAGGGGGTGATAGTTTTCTATCTTTTTTTAAACCCTTATGAATGAATGAGAGATTAAACTATAAAGATTAAAAGGAAATAAAAGAAGTTGTCAAGCCTTCGATTCAACCCAGTCTTTTTTTGAGTATGTGTTTTACTATGATAATGGCAAATAACTTTCTTATTGCTTTCAAGTGAATTGCGTTTTCTTAAGAATTCAGCTATTCTCTTTAATAGTGAAATATTTTTTTAAAGAAAATTAAGCAATGATTTTATTTTAATTATAAAATATTATGTGTTAGACTTTTTATTTTGACTTGCTGCCTTTAGAATAGCTAAGCATTTAAACTGTTTTAATAAATACACTTAGAGAGTTGAAAATATAAGAAAACAAAGTACTGTCAGAAAAATAAAATAAAAATATTGATAAAGCTAGTGTTTGAAAGAAACAGTACTAGATAGATTTTGTTTTGGTTTAAGAGGAAATTATTTTTCCAGCTTAAAGCGTATTTTTAATGTTATTTTTCAATCGGGATATCTTCACTGCTAATTCACTTTAAATGATAAAAAGCTCATGAAAGAGAAATTTTACTAATAGCCTGCTTATATTTACATTTCTTTAATATTTTATTCTTAAAATTTTTTACCACATTAACCAATCTTTATGAAATTAAATTATAACAAAATATTGTAAAAAACTAACTTTGATAATCCTTTATTTAATTATTGAGTAACTCGTGTTTTTATATTTGTTTCCCTTAAGGACTTATTAGTCAGAAAAATTTATTTTCTGAAGTAACAACAGTGTTGGGCAATATTTATTGTTCATGATTTAATCAGAAAGAACAGTTCTGTCTTCTAAACCTTGTTTCTTATCTCACAGAAGCTACAAGATGAAAAAAAGTCATCTTATGAAAAAAATATTGTAAATGAGATTGATAAGTAACAAACCAAATATTTATATTGAAATAATGAATCATTTTATTGATTGAGTTGTAGAAAAATGATGGCATTTATAACTGCAATATTTATATTAAATGTCAAACTCGAATAAAAATTCTGAGTCTTGATTATAAAATTTTTTAAATAGAATGCTAATTGCTGGTGAGAGGAATTAGAAAAAAAAAACAACATATGATTAATGTCAGCAACTTCTTTTCTCTATGGGTTTAANATCCTTTATTTAATTATTGAGTAACTCGTGTTTTTATATTTGTTTCCCTTAAGGACTTATTAGTCAGAAAAATTTATTTTCTGAAGTAACAACAGTGTTGGGCAATATTTATTGTTCATGATTTAATCAGAAAGAACAGTTCTGTCTTCTAAACCTTGTTTCTTATCTCACAGAAGCTACAAGATGAAAAAAATATTGTAAATGAGATTGATAAGTAACAAACCAAATATTTATATTGAAATAATGAATCTGTTCATTTTATTGATTGAGTTGTAGAAAAATGATGGCATTTATAGCTGCATTATTTATATTAAATGTCAAACTCGAATAAAATTTCTGAGTCTTGATTATAGAAATTTTTAAATAGAATGCTAATTGCTATTCAGTAATTCACCAATCCTGGTGAGAGGAGTTAGAAAAAAAAAAAAAAACAACATATGATTAATGTCAGAAACTTCTTTTCTCTATGGGTGGCACTTAATCTTGGAAAGTTGTGTTTTATTTGGGTAATGTGTTATAAAAATTTCTTTTTTGTGGCCATTTTAAAATCTTGCCTCTGATATTTTTGAGATATCTCATAAAACAACTTAAGAGTACTGAAATTTTTATAAGTAACAATACAGTAATTAATAGAAAGTAATAGCAAAAGAAAGTAATAAAAGTTTACAAAAATTGTCATCTTTGTGGCCGTTTTTTTAAAAAAAAGTTAGTTTAAGATTAACCGATTCGAACAATGTCTTCTATTTTTTGCACATTTGTCACTTCTTTTCAAATTTGATTGATTAATATCTATCTTAACCAGTTAATTTGCTTGTTTATGAGATAATGACAGTTTTGTAGAGCTGCAAATTGCTAAGTCTGTAAGGGAGAAGTTAATAGGTTCAATGAAAAGCGGCAAGTCTGTAGGAGCTCTGATTTGCTCTATTTTCTGTTGTTTTGAGGTGTTTCTTTCTTTTATATGTGTTATTTCAAATGTCCCTAGAAACAATTTTACCCTGGTCCCAGTTGGGTTAAAATTTGGCTCAATATGGGTCATATAAGAACATGCACAGAGGGAACAATATGTCTAGAATGGCAGAAATATAGATCCTACATTGGCTGAATAATGGATATAAAAGTGAGTGAATCCGATAATTCTATATAGGACCGATATTGATTGTAAAATATTGGGTGACTCGGAAAATTCTATATAGGGCCAATATTAGAAAAATAGAGTCCCTTTGAATGCTTACTGAGCCAAGATTCATGATTATTTTAATGCTAGGGGTCATGTGTAGTCCCATTTTTAGTTTGAGCAATGGGGTGCAATAAAATAGTCTGTTTTGGATATAAAAGCAATATATCCAGGAGTGATAAAATAGTCTGTTTTGGATATAAAAGTAATATATCCAGGAGTGATTGTATTCCGGGTTTTCCGTATCTAAAAGCTGGGCATGTGATTTTTTCGCAAAAATCGCATTTCATCTCGAGACTATTAGTTTGCGAACTTCCGCGAATCAAAAACTTATAATCTGACGAAATTTGAAACTTTACCTATATTTTGTTAACGAAACGTTTGCATGTACGTGATTCTTCCGCCAATTTAATTTGGCAGATTTTCGGCATTTTTAATATTTAGAACTGCTCCGGAATCTCCTAATATCATGTTTCTCATTCACACGATTTTAATATTAATAATCGATTTTCATATTTATACATGATGTAAAAGCTACGCATTGCAATCTGTATACACGCAATCAAAAAATTGTGTGAGTTTTTACTAAGTGTCGGTCCCTATTTCAAATAATATAAAACATTCTAAATTTTTAAACAATTACAACATTTTGTGTGAACTAGAATAAATGAATAGTTCAAATGATGTTTCTGAAAAAAAGAAGAAACATAATGTCTAAGATAGGAAAAAAATTAACTATGATATTGAGCAGACAATAAATTTTCTACCTGTTGATACATTTATTCATTATGTACATTTATAAGAATTTCATGTATTGATAGACAAAACAAACAATTTCAAAACTATAAAAAGAGTAACAAATCAGTTTTTAATTTGAAGTAATCTAACACTTGTTTCAAAGGAAAACAGCAATGTAATTTTTTGATACTCAGAATTATTTCGAATTTTTTCTTCATACAGGAGAAAAATTTTTTTCTTCCTTTCTCAAAAAAAAAAAAAAAGTTTAGTTTATTCTGCTTACATGAGTCTGCTGACAAAACACTAACAAAAGTTATTTTTCTCGAAGGAAAATCAAGAGAGGAAAAGTTTTTTCAAGTCACATCCAAAAATTTTGCTGTATTTTATGCGCTATAGTACGTAAGCGACATTGCTGTGTATAAGATATATAATGTGTGGTGTTTAGAGCCCTATAACATCCAAAATACTGGATGGAATGTGATAAAAAAATAATGAGATACATCAGAATGCGTAGCCAAATTTTTCAACAAAAAATAAGTACTTTTTAAGCACTTTAAAAAAAATATAATAGAGATACATGCACTAATAATTTTTTTCTTCATATATATATGTTAACAAAATCCAAAATAATTTTCAAAGTTACATGATTATGATAAAATAACTAGTTTCTGACAAAGGATTTTTTTCTTGATTATATTATCCACCATAAAAACAATTTTATGCACAATTTTAAATGTATTCAATATTGAGTGGATCATTCTATTTTTTAAATTAGTAATTATTTTACACAATTATGTTAAAAAAATTTCCTTCAACAATTATTTAAAGAGGTTATCAAGTGTATTTTTTAGATTTGAATAAAAATTATTTACAAAAGCATATTCTACAAAACACCAATAATATTACCATTATTAATCATAACGAATTTATAAAGATATGTATGCCGAAGAGGATTGTGGTTGAATGAAATGTGAAAACTAAGCTTTTTGCATTATTCGTGAAAAAAAAAATGATGCAGTAAACAAACAAAAAATTTCTTTTTTGAAAAGGGAAAATTAAGCATTTTTTGAACACACCCAAACCCCTTTAAGGGCTTTTAAAAAATGAAAATAAGCACCTTTTAAAAATATACGCTCCTGATGTGTACTTGGTGAGCTCAGGGTATGCTTCAATTTCTAAAAAATAAAGAGTTACGACACTGAACAAAGCAGTTGGACATATATTGGTAACCTTTAAACATGAGATTGGAATTATAGTTTTCCAGCCTGTTTGTGTTGTAAATTGTTATTTAAAGTCAGACCAAATACACACAATAATATGGAGGTTTAATTTACACCCAATATTACAGCTTAAAAACACTTAAATGATGCACATAAACTGTTTTATCAGTTTTATCAACTAGATCAAACATTGGAAATGAGGCGAGATTGTGAATTTTCTGTCATGCAAATATGGGCTGTAAAAAATACCTCAAATAAAACTAGTTTGTCCCAATCAATGCTTGATCTAGGAATTGCTTTGTGTTCTGGATCAAGTTTCAAAATTATAAGTAAACAAAGTTTAATGCTGATGTCTATAAGCCCAAAAATAGGTTGGACATTCAACACTGGATACAGATAAAAAAGATATATAAAGCCAAAATTTTTAAAGAGAAAGATCAACTAAATCACCAAATATTGTGATTCTTACTCTTTAATAAATTAAGAAATGTAGCATTTCTAAGAGTGTAAAGCCTATTTTAAATCTCGCGCAATACTGTAACATTAAAAGATTTGAAAAATGTGACAACTTCAGTTGGATTTAACTGAGTCACTAGAACTAAACGGGCCGCAATCTGGTTGGCAGGACACTGTATTCTAGTTCGAATCCAGCCGACCGAACACTCCCCGTGAAGCAAATGGTGCACAATATGGAGGACTGACCTGAACCATGACTCTGGTTCAGGTCAAAATTACTATCTGTGGATGATTGAATGATTCCGCCCTATAAATTAAGAAAAGAATTCAAAATTTTTAAAAGCAATTAAAATAGAAAAACGTGCAAAGCAGCAGTGAATCTGAAAGGAATTGAAATAAGAGAAACAATGAAATAAGAAAAAAATTGGATAAATAAGTCCGCCCTATAAACAGGTGTGGCAGAAGTCAAATTCTTGACCATAGATGGAGCCACTGGAAAATACAAACAGCAACTATAACTAAAAGGTAAGAGGAAACCAAATCCTGGATAGGGAATTTCCCACTATAAAAAGGGGATTCTTGGACATAATGCATCCATTACACTTCTTAATTTTTTACATTCTCTAGTTTTTACACTTAACCTTTTAATGTATATTTGATCGTATGATTCTCCCTTCATGACCTACAGTATCGTATATGAAATGAGCTTTTCTGACTCTAGTGGCCCTAGAGCACATGTACTTTATCTCAATATAATACTCTTGTATCACATCTCATATTAGCAAGCATATTAGTACTCTTCATTTTTGTATCACATTACTCTCCATGTATGTGTGTTTGGAACATGTGCTTCTTCTTTCAATCGGTTTTGAAGGAATTAACAATAGAACCAAACAGATTTTTATCCACTTTTTTAGTTTGAGAGTGTACCCGCTTTAAATATAACCTTTAAGCATTGCATAAACATTTCCAAGTACAACTGTTACACGTGTAGTTGCAACAAGTTTCTTAACAAATCAATTTCTATTCACCCATGTTTCAAATTAAATTTCGGTATATATATTTTATTGAGTTTTTTTTTCATATTTCACATTATAATTTATTTTTATTATTGCAGTTTAGATTATAAAATGTTCCCTAAATTAAGATAATATTCAATTGAATTGCTTGAAATAATACAAATTTTATTAAAAGGATGCTTTTAAACGAAAATTGCTTAACAATTGAAAGTTTGAAGATCAAGTGCCACTTAAGGCAGTGGAATGTTAAAAATAACGGGAACATATGACAAACAAATACGTTCTGGATGGCTCAAATATATTGATATGAGTAAACGAAAACCTATAACTGAAATCAAAGAAAGAGAAATTCGACAAACTTAAGTTCCAGTTGATAAGATAAAAAGTAATTAGCGTAGAAGCAAATTAAAAGAATCAAATATCTTCTCAAATACTTCTTAGGAAGAAACAATTTTATTGTTATGAGAAATACCAATATTAGAATTAATTCAATAATAAAAAATATTTTGGGATCAACAAAGCCATGTTTATTGTTCAGAACAAAATGATGCACATGTTTTTGAAATCAAAACAGAAGGGAAAAAAATTCTACAAGTAATGTCGTATTATTGCCAGATACCAACCTGATAGTGAATCTGTGGGACAAGTTTGATCCACAGGTTCATGTAATGGCTCAGACAAATCTTCAATGCCTGTAATTCGCTAAAGCAGCAGGGTTTCGAAGGCGCCTGGAAAAATATTGGCCACGATTTATTCTCTTAAATGCACAAGTACGTAACCATGATATGCACTAAAAGGGGTAATAGCTGTAGAAGCAAAATTAAGGTTAAATAGAATTTTATATTTATGCATTGCTGGAACCGTAATAATACTCAGTATTCTACATAAATTTCGACTTTCTTTTTATTGTATTTGATTTATTAATGACTATTTTAATCTTATTGCACATTAGCATATAGGTGTGTTTGACTCATGTGATCTTGTACATTATCGATGCAGGAAGAACGTAAGACAGTCACGTTTTTATTCTTCATCAATTAATTACATAAATTTATTGAGTTCTAAATTATGTTTATTATAGATTTAACAACTTTAAAAACGATAATTTTTTTTGTTGATATTTTTATTCCATTAAAATAAATAAAATAAAAAAACTCAGGAAATTGGTTTTACTATTCTTGTTTGGGCCACTATTAAAAAATTCTAACACAAATACAGAACCAAAAAAAAAATTTATTGGAACATAACTGGTTGTATATAACTATTTGGTATTAGTAAATTATTTAACGATTGAAAAGCTATTGTAAAACACTTTTCATAGAACAAAATATGCATTATTTGGCAGATAGGCAGATTTTGACAGATAGAACACAAGGGATAACAAATAAATAAGAAAATACACTCTTTATTTTACATTATTTATTTATAAATTATGAAACACTGAACAGGCNAGTAGAAAAATCCATAGAACCAAAAAAAAAAAAAAAAAATTGGAACATAACTGGTTGTATATAGCTATTTGGTATTAGTAAATTATTTAACGATTGAAAAGCTATTGTAAAACACTTTTCATAGAACAAAATATGCATTATTTGGAATAACTGTTTTATATATATTTTGACATATAGAACACAAGGGATAACAAATAAGAAAATACACTCTTTATTTTACATTATTTATTTATAAATTATGAAACACTGAACAGGCAGCACTTGATATAAAGAGTGAAATAGTAAATTAAATATTTTGGAATAAGAATTATGATTATTAAAATTGTATAACTGATGTACAGTTCAATTGAAAGCACACCAGGTTAATAAAATATTTTTATTTTGATCCATCTTAAAATTTAAAACTAAATGATAAATGCTGCTACACTGTTTTATCTTTACTGCTGCCTTTCCTTGGACACGCCAATATAAGTGCATGCTGTCCCCCTCCTGCTACCTTTAGAACTTGCCAGGAATTTTGTAATTCTTCTTTCTTTCCTTTAACAAGGCGAGGTGAGTTAATATCATTCTCATTGGCACTTTCTCCATGCCCTAGCTGGCTAGAAGCCATTCCCCAAGAAAAGAATTCACCTACAAAAAAATAAATAAATATCAGTTTTATTTTATTATAATCAGTTCAGTAAAAATATATCAATAGAGGTTGTATTTCCTCTTAAATTCCTAAAAATTTTTGCAACCATTAAAAAAAAAAGAAAAAAAAAGGGTGTTTTAAGCAAAACACTGATTATACAACCCCATTTTTAAACCAAATCCGCTAAAGTTGAAAAATGCAACTGCTGAGTTATTTATAAGCAGGGAGGCAAGTAATATCACTCTTTTGAGTGGGAGAAATTTTAACCCACTGATGGTTTTGTGAACGGTGTAAAAATTTTCACCGGCCGTCTTCGCACAGCAAAACAAGTTTTTTCATGCTATTAGATAGAAAAATAGTGTGTAGGGGAGAAACATTCTCCTAGTTTTTCCCTTTTGCTTAACTGTCAAGAAGGTTAAAGAATGTTTCTAAAATTACCCCAAAATTTNGATACAATATCGATTCCAACTATCGAGAGTAGGAGTAGCCACTTCAGTTCTGACGTCACTGCATATCGTCATATGACGTCATCGCATTCAACTCCACAGGAAAGGAGAGGAAGAGGATTCCGACGAATCCTAGTGTAAGAGGGCGGGTCAAATAGGAGTGTTAAAGAGGGGGGGAGGAAGCACCTGCAGCTACACTTTAGGCAGATGGTGGTTTGTTAAGAGAGGGCGGAATTAACGCGGGGGGAAAAACTTACACACTCGCGGAAAAATCAAATAATTTTGAAATTGGCCGTAGATTGAGGTAAAATTCGGGAGCTTTTCGTATCGATTCCGGAGGGCGGGAGAAGAATAAAAAATTCGGGAGACTTGGCACGTCTGACTGTGCTGCCAACCCTGTATCGGTTTTAGACTATGGTATGTACAATTTTAGGCCAAAGTAATAATTATCATTTAAAAATTTGAAGGATAAATGACAATTTTCCTCTTAACTGAGGTAAATATTATTTCACGCTTAGGGCAATTAACAGCAACCTTTTTTAAAACAGAGGTATTTGTTTTAGTTTAACATTTTGGGCAATAAATAAGTTATAGTTTTTTATTTTAAACCAAAGGAATTTTTCTTATTTAACAGCTAGCTAGGACTATAAGATGGAATACCACTCTTCTAAAATCAAAAAGAAAACATTTTTATGAATTTGGTAAAATGAACATAGCTGTAGTGGCTAAAACATTTATTACTACAAATACAGGTCTTGTAAAAGGTCAAAAGAAAATCGAGATAACTAAGACCGTTGATAGTATAATTTATTTTCTAATACAGTCGAACCTCGATTAATCAATACCCCTATCGTTCTGAGTATCACATGTATCTGAGAGTTGTTCTGTAGACAGCATTTTTCTATTCTATATTGTGTGTGCAAATTGTAGTACTATAAATTTACGCCTAAACAAAAGTTATGATAACTAGATGCGTTGAATGGTCTGAAAAAGCTCGTGTTATTATTGTTGTAATCTGGCTTCTGAACAAACTGCAATTAAACATAAAACAAACATGTTCCCACTGATTTTTTCGTTATATTATTTTATTGTTATTTATGACATAAAAACAAAATTGAAGTGTTATTTTGAAGCATCATTATAGTTAATACTTATTTTTATAATTTTATTCATAGTTTAATGTTTATGCACTAAAAAAGCCCTTCAATTATCCCACGATTTCCCCTGCTCCCGAGGATGCCGGATAATTGGGGTTGTACTATACACTGAATCTATATAGGCATGTTGTATATAGAGAAAAAAGAACCCTTCAATAAAAGAATATTACAAATAAAATTTAGTGAATATTTCTTACATTATTTTTCGAGCAATAAACTTACTTCAAATCACACTAAAAGCCAATGTGAAAATTTAATATTTCGTTAAAATTTAATCATGGGTTCATCAAAACTTAATGTTGTAATTAAATAAAGAAGAGCTTCCCTAACTTAACAATACTTTACTTTTTAAAAAAATCCATATGGATAGCGAATGATCACTTAGCCTACCATTTTAATAATGCTGTGATTGTTGAAAAGTTAATTGGATTAAAACAATTTTAAATGAAATGTTAATACACCATTATAACTTTATGAGTTACTTTAAGTTTAAGTTACCTTACGAAGTTACAGGATTGGCAAATTTGACAATAGAAGTTTTTTCTTTTCTTCCATAAATATACTCAAATGCCCAAAAAATTCTAAAACAATTCAGGCAAAATAGATTATACACCGCAGACACTTAAGTACTACCAGTTCAACATTTCACAATTTTAAGATTATTAAGTCTTAATTTTAAATGTTAGGATCAAGTGTAATATAGCATTATCACTTAAATACTTTTAGAGAATTAAGACTTTTAAATCATAACTAGAAGTTGTTGTGAAACTTATAAAAGTGCAACAGTAAGACCCCTTAAAAAGAATCTTTTTCGGTAAGATGGAAATCTGCTCTATGGACCGAAGAATGGCATCCTTGATTATAGGTAATAATTTATGATTTAGAATACTTAAAAAAGGATAATTTTATTTTAAATTACCTTTCTCAGTAACAGCATACGACACACAATTTCCGCAAGATATGTTGCTGCATTTTTCTAGATTAGGAACGACAGTAGGTGATGATTTGTCTTCACAAACTCCTAAGCCCAACCTACCATAATCTTGACGTCCTAGAGCATGAACCGTACCTAAAAATATAAGGTTAGTTTTTTTAAAATGTGTGAATATTAACAGCATGCGCGATTTATAACTTCCATGAATCACATTCCACAAACCATAAATATTCTCAAGTAGAAATCTGGTAAGAAAATCATTTGGAAGATAAAAAACAATCAAATGAAATTAAAGAGAAATTTGGAAAAACATTAATGCAGTATGAGCTTAAAATATCTTCAAATAAGTTTATAAAAAAGAGAATTATAATTAAATTGAAAGAGAACAATAGAAACAAGAGGACATTACAGCAGTATTTCTCAACCGTTTTATTCCCACGCATCGGTCAATGTTTGATAATTTTACTGCTGCCTGTCAACTGATTGTTTATATTTTAGTTTGTTTTGGTTTCGTAATTTTAAGTTAATTGCAATTAAACATGCCTACAAAATAAAATACAATAACAGGCAGGGTATAGGCGTGGCTTTAGGTGACACTTTTAAGCTCTTGGGTTAATCTCGTGTCCATGGAAAGTCGTACAAACTCGAGAGAAATACACCACAGTAAATAAAATTAAAATAATTTATTATGTTCCTTGAGCGGTCCTGTACCATTTGATCCGCGGACAAGTGGTTGGAGTTCAACGCATTACAGGTCTTCATCAGGGGGCACCTTGCATGCATTTATGTTTAAGCTATCATGTGAATAACTTTTTAACGAAGGTCTCATCTATGTTTCAAAGACCCATTTTGAAAGTATTAATAAATAAATTTAAAAAATGTTTTTTTACACTTATTAACCAAGGCTCTCATTGAGCAAGTTCTCTGGCATGAAGTGTGCTCCATCTCTGAAAACAATAGTATGACGACCTACTTTTCTATCAACCTAATACATAATCTCTACTTGACTTTATAATTCTTTATCTAACATTACGTATTTTATCAATATTTTGAACAAATCTGTGGGGAAAAAAAAACTATTACAGAATGAATTGAAATCCAAACAAATATAACAAAAATCTTGAGAAATAATATTTCTTTCAAGATTTATACAAATTAACAGTTTTACAAGATTTAGTTAAATTATTCTGTCTAAATCTGAAATTACGAATTTTTTAATCATTAAAAATAAGAGATAATTGTTGAAAAATTGAACACTAAAACATTTGTTAAGGCGGGGATATTTCAACCTTCTCGTTTGAGGTTAAAACCAATTGAACTTTTGAAGGGTTCAAAATGTCTCAGCAAAGATTGCTCAATCTTATGAGACTTGCAATAATAAGGAAGGAAAGGGTTTAGGGCATTTGCCTCACAACGAGGTGATTCAAGTTAGAATACCAGCACTGTCTGGTTGATACGGTTTTTGCTTTTCACTCCTACCAACCACAGTGCAGCCGTAAAAAATATCTTCAGAGGAAGGATGAACCATGGATATAGACGGATCATCATGGCTAATCATTTCCCTTCTAAATGTTACGCAAATGCAGATGAGTTCCATTAAAAAGTCCTCTGTGAAGGCTAGTTTGTTCCAATCCATGATCCAGGAGTTCACTTACCTTCTGGATGAGGTTAAATATCATAAGGCTATAGAGTTGAACATTGATAGTTGTAAAATCTGAATTGGGTAGGCTGTAGAAAATAAAAAAGTCTGTGAGGAAAGGTTAACCATCTCTCTGGTTGAATAAAACTTACCACTGCTGTCCAAAGCTAAAGTGTGGTGTTGTCCACCATTAATCTGTTGCCAATTTTTATCACTAAAAGAAGGAATATGTTGAGGAAAGAACACCATCTGGTTTTCTTGATCACTGTTTCTATTTTGTAAGCCTACAAAAAATACAAAAAAAAATCTCTAAAATAAAACTATTAAGTTTTTATGAGAATAATTAAAAATGCTGCAGAAAAATTATATAGCATTTTCCAGGAAACCTCATAAATACAGAATTTAAGTATAAATTAATAATCCAAGAAATTCACTTAAAAATAAAGGCTTCTTTTGCTTCATAGTTAAAACAAATGAAAGCTTCATAAAACTATGAAGCAAAAGAAGTCTTTAATTTAAAGTAAATTTTTTTGGGTTATTCGTTCAATTCATGATTCATGTTTGTTTATAAAACATAAATCACTCTTTTTACTGGTAATAAGAATAAGGAAAATATTATAAATCTTAACTAGTGGTGTACCAAAAGGTGGGGCAACAACCCCCAGGTTTACAGCGAAAGTGGTCACCTGATTAACAACTAAAGACAGTAAAACATATCTGTCTAAGCAAGGCACCAACTGTACTTAGGACGTGAGAAAGAATTTCCTAACACTCATCATAGCAATAGAATTTCATAACATTTATCTAGCAATAAATTTTCAAAAAAAAAAACCTTTTCGCTTATAATATATTAGTAATGTCAATGAGGTTTATTTTTCTAAACAATTTTCATTTTTGAGAATTCATGAAATACAGACTTTTGAACACACAATTAAAAAAAAAAGAAAAAACTGAAATTTTTTTTTAAAATTAGAAATTTATGATTTTCATGTTAAACACCTTTTTTGAGAATCAACGATGCAGGGCAAAAAAATAAATTATGAAATATTAACTGTGTTGAAATAAATTCTGTTTAAAATTTTATGATCATACTTTTAATTAAAGAAATTTTACTTAAATATTATGGTAATAATTAACATAATACATGGTAATGTGCTAAGTCAATCGACTTTTAATGGGCATTATCATTATGGGGCAAAGTACAAAAACTTTGGGGCTGAAGTGGTTTTCTACATAAAAAAAGTATAACTTTCCACGCGATATCTTTGAATTCAGAATTTAAAATGATCAAACAAATTTTAAAATTCCAAATTCCTACAATGTAAATTAACAAGCACTAATATAAATTAATAGCAACTGTCACAATTTTAAGTGTTTTGAAAAGAATAGGGGTGATTTTGAGCCCAACTCAAAAATCTGGAAATCTGGACTTTTCAGGAGCACAATGATCTCTGAAAGAACTAATTTTTAATAAAGGTAACAAGTGGGTGATATCACATTACGATATATTCGGATTAAGAAGTCTGTTCTTTAAAAGAAGAAAAATACTCATAAAAGAAGTTTGCACAATGGAATTAAATGCTGTATTCATTTTTGTAAACACGCATTTTGAGCTAGGTCCCAATTTAAAAACTCACAGATGAGATGTTGTAAGTATATAAATTATAAATAAGCAAAAAGAAATAAAAGCTTAATTTAAAGTAATCTTAGTCATATAATAATCAACTATCATATATCTTACTTGTAATAAATAACCATAATTAATTTATTCAAATAGCTTAAATTTTAAATGCATAAACTATTGAACTGCAAGCATGGTTACATTCAAGAAAAAAATTTGAAACAAAATTTGCATATATTGATTGAATTAAGCAATTTAACATGATCATGACCTTTAAATATATTAAAGTATGACTGGTGTGATACAGACAGTTTAGATTAAAATGTGCAAATAAAGTGCTATTGCTAAAAAAACAACAATAAAATAAACAATCTTGTTGCACTAAGCATTTTAATTTAATAAAGCATGTTTTTAAGATTCTTTTTATATTATAATGCATTAAATATTAATTTCAACTTAATACATAAAAGGCATTGATTGCCTCATAATAATTCACAAAACTTACAGCTCGGCCAATAAGCACAGATAGATGTAGATGACAAAGCAGTTTGAAAACATCGCTTTCATGAAGTTTTTTCATTTCTTCATTTGAAAGTTAGTTTAATCCATTGGTAACAGGAAAAAACATCAATTATAAAAATATTTAGAAAAGAAAATATAAGGTAAGAATTCTAATTTTTTGTGTGTTAATACACAACAAACATAATGATTTTTTGCTCATACTGTTTTTTTTTTGTTCCAATGTAATCATATAATATAAAACCAGTAAACCTAATAAGGCCAGCAAGTTTTTGCTAAAATTTTGTCACAAGCTGTTTATAATTGGCAACAGGAACCTGGAGTGCTCGGAAGGCTGCATTTCATGTGCAAATATGCTATTTTTTTTAAAAGAAGCTTACTCAGTCTTAGGGAATTTTCTAAACATGTACAGTCAGAAAAAATATATATATATATAAATATATACATATATCACCCTGAATAAATATATATATAGGTTCATTCAGAGAAAGTGCGTTTTTGTGTCTGATTTAGTAACTTAATTAATAGTTAGCACTACTCGATTAACATATTTGAAGTCACCCCCAGGAACCATTAAGACTGACACTTAGTACGTGAAAATCTGATTATAAAACGAAAGTTATTGCGGATGATATCTTTTTTTTTGCCGACTGTACAAAAACCATGAGAATTTTTATTAAACCAGTAGACCCGGAGAAACTGGCGAAATCTAGCAGTCTACTGTTAAACCCAGTAGAGTCTGCACTTATGTAAGTATATAATAAAATTGTTGTTGGCGAACTACCCTGTTTAATAAAGTACTTACCTAGTTGATTGTAGTTATTTAGACCACATGCATATATAGATTGTTGAGCTTTCAAGAAAGTGGCATGGGATTCAGTCCAGACATCAGTAATTAGTAATCGGCGCTTCATAAAAATAACATCAGGTTCCAGTAAAGCGGCTGCAATTAATTTCACATTTTTTGAAATTATAAATTATACATTATTTTAAGAATTTAGTTTTAAAACTGATTAACAAAAAATAAATAAATAAATGAAATAAAATTATGCACAAAAAAATGGGATTTTTTTAACCCATTTTATAAATTGATAATACCAGATTAACCTTAATTTTAAAACAGATTCATGGAAGAAAAAAAGTAGTGAACAACCATGCGAAAAAGTAATTTAAATTTATAACACAAGTCAATGCCAAACTATTCCTTTATTGAGGGAACCTGTGCACTCCAAACAACATAAGTGGCTGAAATAATAAAACAAGAATATTTCTAAAAACTTCTCCAATTTTATAGAATTTTCTCAATTGCATTAATAGAAATGAAAAGTAGACCAGGAAAAACTAGTAAAACCAAAAGCTGTAAAAATCTATAACTAAAACTATAATAATCAAACCACAACTTACCCAGACCCTTTACACGGCCACCCTCCTGACATGACCTCGGATTAACTCGACCGAGCTGACCTTGTTCTGCACAACCACAAGTATATACAGTACCATCTTTGGACAGACACGCAAGATGATCGGCTCCGGAAGAAATCTTCACAATCGTCTTCCCTATCAATACTTTGACAGGTGTTGGGCAAGGTTGACCATCAGCTCTTAAACCCATCTGCCCGGCTGCACACTAAAGAATTAAAAAGCAGGGGTCAATTAAAAAGTAAATTTGTAAGTCAGTTGTTATCACAGATCATTAAGGCAAGGGGGTGTGATAGCTCTTGCTTTCCAGTGGAGTCATCTATGGCCAAGAATTTGACTTCTGCCACACCCGTCTACGGGGGGGAGGGGGGGACAAATTCATACATCCACATATCTTAATTTTGCCTTGAATCAGAGAAAGATCAATCTCCATTTCAGTACTCCCAGAGGCATAATGTGCTAAGGGAAATCGAGGACTTTGTGACCTGACAGGTTTAACATGCACCAGTCACCATTTAGTACATGGGGAGACTTCGGCCGGCTAGATTCGAACTGCTGTTCTCACGAACGCAAGTTCAGCACCATGCCATTCAAGCTATCTCGGCTTAAGTCAGTTAAGTGTTGTATATAATATTTAGATGATTTACAAATATGAAACAATTTTTTTTAATTTAGGTAATAATAAAAATTAAAAATAAATACAAATATTGAAGGTAAAATAACATTTATTTACTTATTAATTTACTTATTCATTTAGTTGAAGATTAATTTTCACTTGAGTGTCAGTAAAATCTTTAGATGACCTTGACAGCAGTTCCAAAATAAAACCAAAACTTTTAGTTCTGAACAATCGATTCATTCTATTAGACTCCTGAAAACTATTTTGCTTGTAACTTCAGTCATTATATTAAAATTAATTCAACAATGTTAAAGTTTAATACTTTTAATGAACCAAAACCACTGACTTATATTTTGAGCTATTGACACAGTCTAGCGTTGCTTACCAAAATGTACCTCTCCATGATAATGGCTCACATAATAAATCAAAGATTTGATTTTTTTTAAAATTTATTTTTCTTCATTTTATTAATTTATTTTTAATAGCAAACAAGATAAAAAATAACAGCTAACCTTTCACATCTTTTTACACTAATCACTAAATAATAAACCGCAAATTTTTGTTCTGAAGCTATTCACGTCATCTTTACTTACTTTTTGTCTTACTTCAATTTGAAAAAAAAAAAAGAAAAAAAAAACTTGTATTCAATGCTATTACTATAAAATATTTATGTAGTATTATAATTTTAAAAATAATATAGTGTCATTTACTTTTAATAATAATTTTGATACAATTTAATAACCATATAGAAGAAATTTTTATATATTTTTTAAAATTAATTTAGATAAATTTTAAGAATGATGACTTTTTTCAACCCTGAATTCATGGACATACAAAAGGGAAACTCAGAAGTCAACTTTTATGATTATTCAGAAAACAGAACCTTTAGTTAATTACATCTATAATAATAGAAAGAAGAGTTCCTGTGCAAATGAAATTAACAATTATGTTTGCATAGGTAGGATAAAGAGTAAAAAACATCTCTTTTGGAAATCTTATAAAGCGGGGAGAAAACTCATCTCTAGTAGCAATCCACACTGAGTTTGGGGGAAAATACCGAAAATACCTAAACGAGAAAAAGATGAATTTCTTCACAAATTCTCGGAGTAGCAAAATAATATAAATTAATTTGAGGTAATTAATTTCAGAAACATAATCCTTTTTAAGTCATGAGTATTATAAATGTCTTATTTATTTTGTAAGTGAACATACTCTAAAATTTCCCCACAGATAGACTTGTCCAGATTCTGCCAATGCAGCTGTATGGGAATCTCCAGCTGAAACTTGCACTATTTTTTCTAGTATTTCTACTTTTGTAGGCATGTACTCTTCTTCGTCACAAGAAGTTCTTCGGCCTAGTGCTCCTTCATCATTACAACCAAAGGTCAAGATCTAAAAGTAAAGAAATAAACTGTAAGAAGTTCAAATAACCCAGTTGAATAATTTCCTTGTGATAGATTCTAATCTTTCCAATAAAGAGAAAATAAAGTCTGAGCAACAACACTAAAGCTTTTAATGAAATAATAAATTTAATGTTAAAACAAATCTAAAAAAGTACAAAACTGTCCTTTACTTCCTAAAAGATTTAATGAAAAAAATTAAAAGACATAAGAATCTTAACACAGTTAAAAATAATAAAACTATTTTTCACGGAAAAAAATTTAAATTTTGCTAGAATTAAGTTTTGTTGAAAAAAATTTTTAGTTTTAGGAAATTGTTAATTTTTATTTTAGCAAATATAATTCAATTGCTTTGTTTATGTATATATGATCCACTGTACCTGACTTTTAATTTAAAAGAAAAAACTAAATTTTTTATAAGTGTAAGGAATATTTCATTCGTTGTTAAATCACATAAAAACCTCTTGAAAAATGTTCCTCTTTCATAAAAAACCTCTTGAAATCCTCTTAAAAAAAAAGTCCTGATCAATGTTCAAGAAAATGAACTATAAGTGAACCCACTTCCAAAGAAACAATTCAGTTTACAGGTAGCAAGAATTTTTTGCTTCTGAACTAGATCATGTGACCGGACACATTCAGTTTATAATGAAATGTTAAAACAAATCTAAAAAAACACAAAACTGTCCTTAACTTTCTAAAAGATTCATTGAAAAAAATTAAAAGACATAAGAATCTTAAAAAGTAATATGGTAAAAAGTAATATAAAATTATTTTTATATGGAGATAAATTAAAGTTTTCCTAGAATTAAGTTTTGTTGTTAATTCACATAAAAACTGAACACATTGCAGTAATTGAAACCCAAATTATTCTTCACTTTCATCTTAAAAAATCGTATTCCATGTTCTAGAAAATGAGCTAAGAGAGCCCACTTCCAAAGAAACGATTTGGTCAAGTTTACAGGCAGCAAGATTATCCTGTTTTCGAACTAGACTATGTTACCGCACACATTCAAGTTCATCGGACACATATAAGTGAACCTCTCTTCATGGACCACAATATCATATATAAAAAGAGCCTTTTGGACAGTTCAAGATCGCACGGAGGTGGGATCTCATCAGCGTACTCTCGTATTTCACTTCGTATAAATACAAAGAAAAACTGAGTTTCGAGGTCTGGAAAAGTGCTTCGTTCGGCAAAGTACCATATCATAATCACAAATATAAATGCTTTAAAATTAATAGGAAAGTCAATACTTACTTCTCCATTTTCTGTCAGGCAAACAGAATGCATACCCCCGGCTGCAATGTCAACAATGGAGTATTTTAAGGAATCTAATTGAGAAGGTTTTTCTGTGTAATTAACATCATCACTCAGCCCGAGCTGTCCAGCACCATTTTCACCCACAACAAATACTTTGCCGGAGACGGAACTTAATGAAGGGACTTCCAAAGCAACTTGAAAAAGAAAAAAATTCCTTTAGATTTTTGCAGAAAAATGGCACAATTTCATTTATTAGAAGAATTGTGTAAAAAAAAAAAAGAAGATATTTTGATGCCCAGAAAATAAAATCAATAGATTTTAAAATGTATTATTCAATCTTGATAAGTAGAAAGGTGGCGGTAAAGCTTATCGGATTCGTTACATGCATATTAGGGATGTAACAAATAGTGGTTTGGTCAAATTTAAAAAAAATAATAAAATCGTATAGTGACATTCTGCACGGATGTTTCTTTGAGATTAAGTGTCACAGTTCGATATATATTTGCAACTTTCTGGTTGCGATCTTAAATGTTTTTGCCTATGCAGTTTTTTGGTGACAATCTTAAAAACGTCATTCAGTGTTGACAACAGTTTGGAGGCAAGCGGCAACACGCCATTAGAGACATTTTTGAAAATTACACCAAGCACGCAACATATACGATTATTTTACTGCTTCTTTGATTTACTATTGTTGAAAATTTCAGATTTTTGAGATTTGGTTATTGTGGAGTTTCAAAAAGTATTGCTCACTATCCAAGTATTTTTTTCTCAAAATAAATTTTTTTTTTGTATAAATTAAGAGTTGATTGAAAAAACTAGAGATTTAGTCAAATTCAATTCTCGAACAATTAGAGAGGAAAAAATTTCCACATTGAAAAGAATTGATACAAATTTATTTTAATTTCTCTTTAACCCTTTCGCGACGCAAAGCGCGCTTACCGCTGAGGCCGGCAGTCTCTCTAGCGTGTGTCTCCCCAGGGCCGGAGGTTTTTTTGATGTTAAGCCTAATTCCATGAAATTACCGAAATATCAGCGAATTGTTNTAAGGGAAAACTCAAAAATGCAATGGTTGTTTTCGAAATTACCTTTTAAGTCTAATTTACAGTAATGTTTCATAAGCAAAGATAAATTGAACAAAAATATGCTTGAGAAAATGAAAAAAAAAATTTATTCATTATTCTTATAAATTCTGTCTACTCTAGGCACTTATTAAATTGTTAGATTAATAATGTAAAAATTTTAATAAAGCGTAAATAAATAAACTGTCAGAGAAAGAATACGTATCATGTTACCTAATGTGACTCATTATGAACCAAAATTTATTTTTTCTTACTTACCATCTTGTTTCTTTACATTGCTCTTTGCTTTAGGAATAACTTTCACAGTTTGCTTTCTTTTATGAGATTTTTCTTTACTAGATGAAGCTATTTCTTCAGTTTTGGCAACCTTTTCAGGAGTTCCTTTGGAAGAACCCGGAATCGCTTTTTCTTGCTTTCTCTTACGAGATTTTCCTTTATTTGATGAAACCATTTCTTCAGATTCTTCAACTTCCTTAGGATTATCCTCAGAGTCTTTTTCTTCAGGATTGTCGACTGAAGAAGTTTTCGGAGAACTAGGTACTACTATTTTACTGGATTTTCCTTTATCTGAAGCTGTTTCTTCTGCTTTATCTTGCCCACTGTTTTCTAGAGATTTTTTTGGTGGAACAGATTCTATTTGCTTCGATGAATCCGAAGAGTCAACATTTTCTGTATTAAGTTGAGTTTTATAACCATTACTTAGTGGTTTTTTTTCTTGTTTCTTTGTAACTTTAAGTGAAGGAGTAGGTGTAGCCTTTACTTTTTTAGCAACTTTCTTTTGCACCATTTTAGTTAAAAACCTAAAATTAAGTAAATAAAGGTTAATTAAAATACTTACTTAGTATTCTTTATTTATTAAAATTCATAAAGAATTATCACATATATTTTTTAAACTAACCAAAAAAAAGCACAAAATCAAATATCTTGCAAAAAATGTATAAAATAGTTTAAATTAAAGTTATTTACATATCATTGCTAGGTAACGTCACACACAAACCCACCCTAATTGCTTCTCGTTCATCATTATTTTTTTTTCCTTTCTTAAAAATCAAACTTCTCCACAAAAACACTAAACATTTTGTTTTACAAACAAATGCAGAATGTGCTTGAAATGCAGAATGTGTGAGCAATAAGAAGAAATAATTTTACCAGTTGGAAATAATTCAATTAGCGAAGGGTTTTAGTACTCTTTATTAATTATTTTTATTTTAATTTTTCTGAAAGTTTGCTTTCTTTTCAAAGAAAAAAAAACTATTTGGAAATTTCTTTGATTAATATAAATATTCCAGACAACTTTTACAGAAGCAAACGGCAAACTAAAAGAAGTAGCTCTACTTAAGTGTAATGAAAGTAAATTTTTAGGAAAAAGTATAATTAAATATACTATTTTTTACTTCAGAATTACTTTATTATTTAGAACATGAATGTTTTAACATTATAATTTCATCAATACTGAACCGCTCACATGAGTTTTAATAAGATAATATTCTCGTATACCAATATATATATAAAATTTGCTAATTAATCTTAAAGTAGGGCTTCAATAATCTTGAAATAAAAACAGATTGAAATGTGTCACTCATGTACAAAAGTAATTTTAGTGGATGATCCCTAGACTCATAATTTAAAAATTTTATGATATTGAATAGTTTGGGAGATTTCCATATCCTGATCTTTTGCAGAATAATCGGTATAACTCGTAGGCACCCCCGGGCAAATATCTATATATTTCAGTTTTTAAAAAAAATTTCAAGTTTAAAACTATTTGGCATCTTGGGGATTGTAGTTGGTGCAACAGATCACAGTACAGAACTATCCCGGAATTGTTAATTATAATAACTTTTAAAATCACATGTAAAAGACGACGAATCAATAATTGAGTAACTACAAAAGTCCATCCACATCATTACTGCACTTGCTTAAAATAATAAATAACTGACATCTCATCACAATAAAACCTTGATAATATAAAATTATTGAGATTCTTTCACATAGACAGACTGAATTACAACAATAAATTCTGTGGATAAGGCAATATGCCTGAACCTTGTATACAATTAGACTCCCCCATTAAATAGAAGAATTAAATTATGCGATTTTTGCCAGCATTATTAATTAAAATAGTAAGAATTCAGTTCAAAAATCCAAATTTTTAATTTCTTCAAATCTGTTTTTATTTTTTTAAACATTTTCATTTATATTATCAGAAAACATATATTTAAAATCAGAAATATCAGGAGAAAAAGTTGAAAATCAAAACATCTTTTATCAGGAAACCCAGGAATATCAGAACTACAAAAGCTGTAAATGCTAAGATTTATATTTTGTAACACGCAAACTCCTCCCCCCTTTTATTTTGCTGCCATTGATTGACATCCACTAGCGAGCTTATAAATAAAAATATAAAATTATCGTGAGAAAGAATTTTTTTTCATTCAACTGTTGTGGTTAAATAGTCACAATTTAAAGTAAAAAAATTCACGAAAGAGCACTTAAATTTACATTAACAAATTGGAATTTCAATATGAAATTTGCATCAATTTTACAAATAAGAAGCCTTCAGCATGTCAACTATGCCATTGCACTTCTGTGGGTATTCTGTGCATTCTACAGATCGACCCAACACAATATTTTCCTCAAACAAGTTTAACAGTGAATAATTCTTGAATCAATATAGTCAGTTTAATGTTTGGTCAGAATCAAATAATTTGGTAAGAAAAAGAGTAATGTGTGCTCTATAAAATAAAGTTAAGATGGTTTAGTAAAAACACATTTCTTTAAAAAAAAACTTTTTAGACTTCATAGTTCATGCAACTAGTTTTCAAATCCGAACCAAATACAATCAAGTTTCTAAACAGATTTTAAAGTTGGAAAAAAAATACTAAGATGATAAAGGTTTGTGTTCTGTGATATTTTCCTTTAAGTTACTTGTGAACGATTCCACAAAGCAGTCAAAAATTGGGTTTTTGCTAAGGTACCGATGCGGAATTTTTTTTTCTTTCTACTACAATATGAAGGATATTATTGCTGCATGTGTAATACTTTTGAAAAACACTCCTTCTTAGTATTATCCAACAAATTTTTTTTTTGAGGTTTAAACTATGATCATGAAAATCTATACTCCCCAACATAGTACAGAAGTAAGATAAATGCGTCTCCACTATATAATAAACAATAGAATTTTTTCTCTCGGATGCCCGCCTGATTGACAATCGTCCTTCGGGTTAAGATTCCAGCCACCCTATTAGGTGAGGTCTACGTTGCTCCCACAGTAAGTTATATGTAAAGAAATTTTTGAAAACATTTTGCTAAACAGAAAAATAAATTAAAATTAGTTTTAAAAAAGAAGTTAACAAGTGTATCCATTAACTGTTATAATATCTTGTATTTTCGTGTGAGTTAATACTGGCTAAACAATCCGTATAAAGATAGCGGGTTCAAAAAAGTATTCCGGAATAGAGATTTATTTTTCATGGGGCTTAAAAGAAATAAACTTTAAAAACCACTGATTAGAATGTAATCAAGATGTCAACTAGATTTTCACTAAATCTGGTAGAAAAAATAATTTAACGAGGAGTAAAGTCCCAATTAAGTTTAAGAATTATATTAAAGAAATAAACAATTGAGACTATAAAATGGTATTAAAACTTATTTACACAAACTTACAGTAAAAACCACTATTTTCGTATCTGTAGAAAAATTTTGAAACACAACATGCAGCATTCAAATCTCAAAACATAAAGTTCGTTGCCATTAAAAATTTAGTAGAAAAAAATATATGTCAAAAAGATAATATTAGTAACTGAGTAGTAGTTCCAGTTTAAATTTTTTTTATAGATGTCGCAGGTTGTTATTTTCCTTAAACTGCTGTGGGAAAAGCGCAAACTACATGCAATGAGACTGCTCTTTTAGAAACATTTGTTTCATTACTACTGTAGAAAATAAATAGATGTTAAATTATTGAATAGATGGTTGACTGAATGTAGGCAATAACAAACTTCCCAAAACCGGAAAAATTAAGAAGACTTTCTGTGTGTCCTTCCGCTTATATTATGCTTACGAGATGCGTAAACTTGCCTAATATTAAAGGAAATTTTACAGTCACTCGAAAGACTGTATTATAGGCAATCGCAACACTCGAATACGCTATCTGGGGAGAAGACCGGTTCCATGCCTTTGACCATTCCCCCTTTCCTCTCCTGTCCCGCAGTAGACTGATCGTTAAGACAAGGTTCCCAGCAGATCACCGAAGTCAAGCATCACTGGCTGCAGTCAGTGTGCGGGTGGGTGACCATTTGGATCAGTCTGCGTAGGGACCGAGGGTGTGCGGTATGGGTCCTCGCTAAACTATTCTACCGTAAGTAGGTCGTCGCGCTACCAAAGTGGGGGTGCCATCCCATCTGCAGCGGATCAAAATTGTGATGGCATGGCTTAGGATCATCCTCAGGGATGTTTTCCAGATCGTCGTCAATAGCCCATTGTGCTGCTCTAGGGCGACGTAAATGAACTACAACTACAACAACAACCTTTCCTCTCCTCTTATTAGTTGTATAGGAATGTACTACGATATTTTTTTTCCGTATTTAATTGCTTAATTTTCGTGGCGCTTTCTTTCAGAACTATGATTAATGAAGTTTTCAGTTCTATATAGTTTCCAAACTCAAAAGATTTTTATCTATTTGAAAATCAGGACAGAAACTAACGTACTCCCTCCTTCAAGGACTCTCCACACGCTAATTGTGAAGTGTTCCCATTGGTAAAGAGTTCTGCTCCACGCCTCCTATAGTCCATTTCGATCGCCAATTGTGATTTGTGCTTAAATGCGCGCGAATTTTACTGTTCATAAAAGTAATTTATAAATTCTTACAGGTTGTGAGTCAAAAAAAATTCTAACTGAATGAATATCACAACATAAATAAAATATTAGCCATGCTTTGAGTGTTATTCTTAATTTGGCTATATTTGAGCAATGATTGATTGATTGATTTTTTCATTTACGTCGCACTAGAGCTGCACAAGGGGCTATTGGCGACGGTCTGGGAAACATCCCTGAGGATGATCCGAAGACATGCCATCACAATTTTGATCCTCTGCAGAGGGGATGACACCCCCGCTTCGGTAGCCCGACGACCTGCACGCGAAGTCGAGCACTTTACGGTAGAACAGTTTAACGAGGACCAATACCGCACACCCTCGGTTTCTACGCAGACTGATCCAAGTGGTTACCCACTCGCACACTGACCGCAGTCAGTGATGCTTGACTTCGGTGATCTGCTGGGAACCGTGTCTTAAAGATCAGTCCACTGCGGGACATATTTGAGCAAAATAGCACAGTTTGTCATTTTTTGGGTAGCATCATAGCAATCTTGAGGAGTCTTCCGAATTCTTCTGTTGTTTGTTTCGTAGAAAAGAATGCTTTATATTGAAAACACTACAAGTATAATTATATTGGAAGGTGATTTTTTACGAGCTTAGGCGTAAAAATCAGTCGGAAGTTGTAACCCGGAAGTCTTACCATGTAATTTCAACCTCTAGCGCCATCTGCGCCTAGCTTTACAGATATAATATTATTAAACAAATACCAGCCGTTGACTTCTCATCATTAGGCTTCTAGCTCTCCAGTACTTCTTAGCAATACAGTCAAAGTCTTTTAGTGCAGAGCACGTGTCCAAATGCGCAGCAGTCATGGCTCGTCCGGAGTTACATAAAAGACAATCTGATAAAGTAGTCAGCTTGAGGCGGAGTAAATAAGAACGTACAAGTCCGGTCAAAAGTTTAAACACGGCTACCGCAGTAACAAGGGGTGAATCCGAAACACTGTGAGTTTCACAGAACACATTCCAGGACTTATCTGTAGCAGCGTGAGATGATGTCAAACTATGGAATGATTGTTTGAAAATTCTTTTTATTTCAAGTTTAGCGGAATGGAAGGAGAGATCGCTACACGATCTCTGAAGAATATAAGTTCCTTGTTTGGCCAAAAAGTCACCCATTTCCTTTCCTCGAAGACCACAATGGGATGGGAGCCATTGAAATGCAACACTTCCCTCATTCCTCTTCAGGAGTTCTCTACAGCTAAAAACAAGGGGACCAGTGGCGTATCTAGGGTATGGCAAGTATGGCGAATGCCATGGGCGCATTATTTCAAAAAGGCGCAAAATCAATCAACATCAACGATTATTTTTTTAATTAAAAATTTCCCAATTTTTTTTCTTCAAGTTATGGCAGAATTAAAAAAAGCATACAACATTTAAACTTTCCTCGAGGGCTCGAAAAGAAGACATCGAGGTCTTTTGAGGAACTCTTTTTATAACTGGGGGAGTGAAGTATGAAAGGGAACCGCTAATAATAAAAACAAAGTAGGTGACGAGCGTTAAACAATTTTAACCTCCCACTGTTTTTCATTTTTTTAATAACTTCGTTTGAAAACTCATAGACCACCTCAGTTAGGGATAATAGGAGGGCCAAGATTTCCACAGCTTTAGCATAACTCGAAAAGCGCGGGAAATTTGGGAAATTTCCTAAGTTGTTATATTGGATTCACCATTGAAAAAAATGGGGGAAATAAGAAAAAAAAACATTCCACACTTTTTAAACTACTTGACGTCTGTGTGATAACAATTCATACACGTTTCTGCATTCATTCACTAGACACTTTTTCTTTCATTATATTTTCAAGTTAAGCAACAGAGGATTCGAAATAAATAAAAAGAATGTAATATTCATGAATGCATTCAAGATAAATACTAAAATAAATCAGTAATAAAAAGTAGCTTTTTCTTATCTACTATTATATTTACGACGGTTTCGGCAAAAACCAAATTTTAATTATAATATCGTAATTTAAAGAATAATGCAGAGTTTTTAATAATTATAATTATTACTCTCTTTACTAACTTTTTGATACATTCCAATAAAAATATTTTTAATTTCAGAGAATTCCCTAAATAATTAACATTTAATGTCCATTAAAATCCTTTGACAAAGAGACTTTAAACCCATATGTAATTTTATAACCGTCGTTGAACAGCCGACCCAATTCCGTAGCCTTGTAATTTTGAACCCAATCCAGAAGACAAGGGAACTCCTGTATCGAGTAATGGGGGAAATTTGCCTTCGTGGAGCTAACCCGCATTTGCGTTACATGGAGAGGAATACCACGAGAATCTCCCATGGTTAGCCTGACGGCAAGGGGACTCTAACCCATGATCCGTCTACGACTGATGATATTTCACGTCAGCACTGTGGTCGGTGCAAGCCGGATGCGGAATTCGTATCAACTGGGATTCGAACTCGGTTCGCCTTATTGGAAGGCGAACGCTCTATCCTCTGAGCCATCGCGGCTCCCATATTTAAATTAAAAGGAATTTAAACTTATTTTTTTCTAAAATGTAGCTTCTCATTGCTTCACGATACGTCAAAGTTGTAATAGAAAAAATTTAAGTTATCGCTGATAAAATGAAAAGACAAAATGTAAGCTCATTATTCATTACAGAAAATTACAGGGAATTTAATTTTTCTTCTTTTTTTTAGGGTATTATTAATTTCCTTTTTTCTACTAAAAACGAAAAATAAAGCACAAACTTAACGTAAAATTTTTTGAGGAAAACGAAAAAGAAAAAAAAATTTTTTTTCCCCTGGTATAAACGATGATAAAATAAACAGTTTAATAATGTTCATTCAAAAGGGTTATTCACGAGTAAGAGTTATAAATATTAAAGTTCCCAATTTTATAAACAAGCAAGACATTATTTATAAGACTTTATTGAAACTGTAACTTAGAGTCAAACTATAATATTGCACAAGGGAAAAAAAACTCTAAAATCGGCACAAAAAATCATGGTTACATATAAAAATAAAATAATTAACTTAATAACTTAATTTAGATTACAAAATTATAGAATATGTACTAGCATTAAGAATGTATATTGTAGAGTTGTATTGAATGTGTATTGTAGTACTATGTATGATGTTATAGCTCTTGAGTAGCAAATATATAGATATAAGTCAATGCCTTTTTCCTCGGCAATACATAACGTATTTATTTAAAATCGTGTCCTTTTTTATAATAAGAACAGAAAACGAATCCCAAAAATAATATTTATTGATTTCGTTTATTTAAAATAGCTTACTTAGACATTCATTTAAATTTAAAATAATTTACTTGGAAAAAATGCTTTTCTACTTATATTATTTGATATTATTTATGTATAATTGAAAATGCTATACGTTAAATATAAATTATAGTAATATAAGCTGAATCTTTAAATTTAAAACATTTATCTATATGAAAAAATTAGTAGTACTACAGACTAAAAAAATGAAAGGCGAACGAAAGAAACTTTGGAAGTTCAAAAGTTGGTGAGTAACGTAAAGAAATTTTTATCCCCTTATCTTTAAGGAAAGTGAGACATCCACAATTTTCGGGGGAGGAAATGAAAGGAACCCCTTCAGACAGAAAAACCAGATGGCCAGATGGTGATGACCAGAGGACAGAGAGATGTGAAAACCAAGGGGTGTCCCAGTCTAGCTTAGACTAATTATTCTGTAGTGAAATGCTTGTAAATCTTCAATTTTATCAGGGGTTAAAATCTCTTTGAAAAAAGTTTTCCGAATTAGCTGAATAGATTTCAAATAGAACCCCTTCTATAAATTAGCGTAAATCATTCCTCAACAAGAGATTTTTGCCACCCATGGTGGTAGGAGGTTCCTCTGACTCGCTCTACAAATAATTTAAACCTATGGAACGATTTAATTATGAATACACCCCACTATTTTGAAAAATAAAGGATAGGCGTTATAAGTAGTTAGGCGCTCATACAAAAAATTCTGCTCGTTTTAGTTAATGTTTCAAAATTTAAGTCAAGA